CAAAAAACTATTTCTTTCGTCTTGTCTTTATAACTTTATGTTGATACAATGAAACCTAAATTTTCAAAATTAAGCTTTTTAATTTATCTGAACTAAAAAATCATCGTAAATAGTACCAAATTACTACACTGCGAACCGATTGAGTCTAGTTTTTTGAGATAGATAAAGTACTTACAGGATAAATGTTTTGTATGAGTAGTGAAATCATAGTTTGAGTTCGACGAACCTTATATTTAAGTAAATTTTAACCCACTTGTCAAAATTACATATATTACATAGTTAATTAGTGTGTAATGAGCCTTAATACGTCCTGTGTATATTAATATTATTTTTTTTATATATTTGCAGGCACTATGGCAACATTTGAGACTGCGATATCTCCATCATCTATTAATCGTCAAAAAATGACCAATTTTAAAAGTCTTGTATTTTTTGCTGTCTATATGGCGTTTTATTTCTCCATAGCAATATTTGGTACGTGGCATATTTTAATTATTCTTTCATATATAACAATTATTTGTATATTTAGCTTAGTAATGTAGATACTCTGTTCTGTTACATAAAAGTATCTTTTAATAATCGAAAATGTATGTCACACGTCACAAATTATTCGAGGAAAAATCGTAATTTCTGACTGCTTTTACTGCATTAAAATAAAAAGTCTTTTGATTTATGCCATTTTGAATTTTTAGCCATAGCAACTCAGGGTACTGCGGATCCTTACCAAAGCGAATCAAGGGGCACCCAATCTGATAGTAATGAAGTTATACAATTAAGGTAGCTCCCTTGCGAAAATCTACGGAATGAAATATGTTTCATTAGATTAAAATCTATTGAATCCAACGCTGTCCTTGTTTATACCCCAAGTGGAGCAAAATCTCGAGATATTTCAGCTCAAAGTTGAACTTTTTAACACGAGCTCAAATGGCAGAGCATCAAAATATCAGCTTTACAGGCATTTACCAAAACTCACAATAAAAAACCTGAGCAGACAAATTATGATGTACTTGTAGAAAATTTTCTGTTTTTCTCAATACTGTCATGTAAAATGCTGGTAATGGGATATTTTCCAAAGATATTTGCCTAGAAATACGTGAAAATCAGCTTCATAATTATAAATAACAGGCGGTAGCCGAATACCAACACTGATGTACGTATATACGTATACATACACAAGTGAAACTCTCCTACTTGACTAAAGCCGTAGACAAGGGAGCTATCTTCAAAACCATTGTAATTGTTAACAAATATTTGATGTATGCCATTTTTACTTTTTAGCCTTTTCAAATCACTATACTTCGGAACTTCGCAGAAGCGAATCAAGGGAAACCCCTTCAAATACTCCTGTATTTGTAGCTAAGTAATACAATTAAGAATCATTGAAATTATAAACTAGTGTTCATACACATTTTATCATTTTTTTATTTTCGTAGATGGATGATAATTGGATTTTTTTGTAGTGTTCCAATCTCATCAGTTCTGATAGCAATGTTCATATTGTTATTAAAAAATTTTTCGCGGGTTATTATAAAAATAGCCTTGGTCATACAATGCTTAGGTGCCATTTTTATATTCATAAACCTTCCAGTGACTCTGGTTTTAGTTGATTACACTGTAGCTCCTTTTTTTTCAATCTTTGTATTAACTATATTGTATTCCTGGGTCACGTATGTCACATTATATACAGTTTTTAAAATAGGAACTGTATTTATGAGCGAAGTTATTCAAGAAGCATGCAGGTGAGTCACTGTAAAAAATTATATTTATATAATTCATATATACAATTTCATTTATATAATTTCTCGTTGAAAATTACAAAAAATTATTTATTACAGGGCTGTTTTACAGTTTCCTCTACTGATCCCACTAGCGATATTATCTTCTGTATTATTGTGCATGGTGTTAGGTTTTGGATGCGGCGTATTTGCTCTTTTAGTTACAAACCTCCAATTTCCTTCATTCTTTTTGATACTTTGTCTCTGTTTGCATATATACGGTACAATATGGCTTTTTTTGGTGATATTTTCATTTAGCCAAATGGTATTTTATGGTACGATCAGTACATGGTTTTGGACTGAGGACAAATCCGCAATCTCAAACAATTCTATTTTGAGAAATTTGGCTTCAACCTTTAGGTAAGATTTTAGAGTCTTGCAAATAAACTACACTAATAATATACTTAATAAGCATAATTTATCTTGACCATCTAATTACGGAAATTTTTTGATAAAAAAAATTATTGCAAATTAGTAATTTTAAAAATCAATAGAAAAAAATTATCAACTTTAAATGATGTGAGATAGCTTTTGTCATGATTAGATCACGATGATCAATGTTGGAGAAAATTTATAACGATTCATTAAATAACTGAAAGCAGAAAAAACGGGCAAATTTTACTGTAACCAAATAAGCAAACGTACTTCATTGAACATATTTCCAGTGTAGCGTCAGTTAAATGAGTTGTTAAAGAGAAAAAGAGTGGAATAACGGATACCATTTTATATTAAAATAAGTTTACATTAAAACTTTATAATCAGTGCAGAAAATTATTTATTCTTAAGATAAAAAAAAAAAATTAATACTGTTCGATTTTAGATACATGGGGACAGCTGCTTACGGATCTCCTGTTGGGTTTATATTTCCAGTGATGATTGAATTTATTAAAAATTTTGTCAGACAAACATACAAGCTTCGACACAATGTTTTTATAATGATTCCATGTTGGTTGAATATATTAATGTCACTAAGAGGCATCAGCGTTGGCGTAACGCCTACTTATAGCCAGGGCTTCAAGAGATCGGTGGACAGAGTTTGTCCAATGTTGTTCCGATACCCATTGCGCTTCTACTCCATAAATATGGTAACGATTTATTAATGTCATGGTTTCCAATTTTTTTAACATATCCATGTAGAAGCACGTTATTTTAATTTCCATTTAGTTGAAGAAAAAAAAAAAATCAAATTTGCTCGTTAAATCAACCATTGCACTTTTTTTAGGCACTTTTTTGCTGCGCTAAGATCTTGGTATTAATTTGTGGTTTAATAGCTGGCACTTCTATTTCAATTATTGGTATTTTAGAATACAAGTCCAATGCGCTGCTTGTGGCAATTCCCACTGCTATGATTTTAAGTTTTTTTGTGGCATTGACAGTCATTGCAGTTCTCAATGCAGCTATTACGACGATTTTCCGTTGTATTTTGGAAGATTTCGAGAAGTATCAAGAAAATGAAAACAGAACGTGCTTCATGAAACCCAGCATTCTGCATTTAATGATGGATCCGAATAAGCATTAGAACACGATCGTAAAATGCTTTAGAATGCACAAACAATCACAACTTACGTTTTGTTCCACTAATGCTTGAATTCACTTATATTATCTTTATTCCGAGAAAGTTGATAATTTTACGTGAAAATTTTTTATTATAAATTTAAATGGCAACAAATTTATACTTATTATATGTAGGTTGTTTTGTAATTGAATTATAATTTTGTTTACTCTAAAAACTTTTATGATTAGAACTTTTTTCAAAAATGTTCTGCTTTTTGTATTTCTTTGGATAACTCATTAAAGATTATTTTAAAAAGTCAAATAAATGTTATGATTTACTTGTTGAATGATCATCAAATTCTTACCAAAAACTTTCTGGACACCTAAATCACAGGTACCAGTAACTAATTACTGGAACAATAATTATTTTTAAAGACATTTATATGATTTGATCACTCTAGAAAGAACACGCAGTTCTTTTATTTAAAAAATGATAATTAATAACTTAATTTAGTAGCTTTGTCGACTTTTGTGGATTATTGGTACCAAATACCATGAAAAAAATAATACTGTCAGGGGTATTAATGTTAATTTACGAGTCCACTCGAATCAGCTGTAAGCCTCTTTACTTAAATAAAATGTCGATGTAATTGGTCAAAATAATGAAAATAAATTAATGTACTACAAGCTGTAACAATCATGCAATTCGTTTAATACAGGTACCGAAGTAAGCACCTCGATACTGCAATTGAAAACAAATATTTTCTTTTTTTTTCTCTCAAGATTCAAAGAAAACTGCTCCTTAAATTTCACGCAGACTCACGCTCAGAAAAACGATAAAAAAAAAAAAAAAAAAAAATCATTCATCCCGCAGCACGTACATCGATATATGATACCCAGAAAGCCGGCAATCGCCCCAAAAAGCAGCTCGTCACCCAATCAGGGGCTCACACCGATGCAAAGAAAACCTCCAAAATTCCGGCTGTATAAGTTTGTATACAGATTCTCATCCGCAAATTCAAAAGATCGCCCAAAGATACGCTCGAGGTGCGCATCACATACCCACGCGATACTCCACGTCCTTGGCCCTGAGCTTAATCCCCTTCGGATTAATAAGGCCTTACAGCAGCGCGTCTGCGTATTCGTGGAGGTATCCGAGTGAGTTCGCGTAGTTGAAAAGACAAATCGCAGGCTGGGGTCCGACTTCTGCAGCAGTGGCCCGAAACGAGTGACAAGCTGCATTCCTAAGCGCTGCGGGCGTGCGGATATTGTATACGAGGGAGAAAAAAAAAGCGAAACAAAAATACCGAGCATCTCTTTTGCTTTACCTTTGATATCTTCATTTTATGCGCTGTCGCAATTCAAAGGACTGCATGTTGATGACCCCCGGGTACATAAAATATACTCCTGGCGTGGATGGGTGAGAAAATTTTAGGGTTGCTTTGCGCTCGTTGCGATGTTGCGTTTGCAGGGTTTACGCGTTAATAAGGCGAAGTAGGGGGAGGTGTGAAAGGCAGGGGCGAAATTGCAGAGTAGCGAAAATGCAACGAGCGCTTTTTGCGTGTACCTGCATTTTTTGAAGTAGTCCGGTATTTTGGTGCTTTATTTGCTAGTGATGACCCGGTGGTGTAAGGTTTTACGTGCAACTTCTCGTGTAACGTGTTTGGCGCGCTTCATCAAAGGATCGTTGAATAAATTTTTTCTTTCAAGCTTGAGATTTTTTTTATATTCTGTTTTTGGTATGCCATAAAAGATTCGCACCAGATGTTATCTCATCTTTTCGTCTCTTTTTAGTGATGCACGTAATGAAGTACAAGTTGAGTGTGTGGATTTTTTTATTACTCTTGATATCGTGACCTTTAAAATCGATAACATCTCTGTAATCAAATTAGCAGTGAGAGCACCATGCCTAAATATCGCTTGAGGTATTTATGATTTACCTCGCGCAACTACTAATAGAAAGTGAAATTTTGTCATTGTGAAAATAATTAAGTTTGTCGTCAAAATTTCTCATTGTTTTCATTTGTTCACGTAACTAGAAATGATATTTTCATTCATCAAAATCACAATTAAACGTACTATCCTTACATGAAGTTTCATGGCTTTCATTCACTCACGTCCTATGACGTGATGTGATATCCCTTAATATCAATTTTTCTATATGTTTTCGTGTGTCTTATTTTGTACAAGTGTCTTGTCTTTGTAGGTAAGTGGCTATATCACTTTATTTCTTCCTGATTTTCTATCAATAGTGAGACAAATTTTTTGTTTCTGTTCACAATATTTGTTTTGGAATTGTACGTCTACTTTGTCGAAGCCTGCTGTTGAAGTATCTTCAAATCTCTACTTTCAATCCTCTTTTTTTCGTCTTCTTATTTAGTTCTTACATTTACACTTCAACTTCGTTCTTTAATCTTCTGTCTGTGTTTCTCTACTCCTTCCTTATTTATTTCATCTCTTTATCTTTTCATGTGTTTGGCTACCACTTTTCTTTAATCTTTGTAAAGTTTATCAAACTATTTCTATATTTTTGTCTCCAAATATTTATCCATTTGTCTCTTATTAATAGTCTGTAAGTATTATCTCTCAATAACTTCAAGTCTGTGCATGTATGTTTTTTTTTTTTATACCTCCATCTATCTCTTTGTATCTTTCTATCAATTTTATTTTTTTGATTTTCATAGGTGGGGTTGGTCTCTCTGAACGTCTGTTACTGTATATTACTTGCGTTATATTTGTTTTTGATACGAAAAATGCGTTATTAATTCTTCAAAGGTGCTGGCCAGATAAACAGGCAGGAGTTAAAACAACCAGTTTTTAGAAGTATCACTGTGTAATTCGAAATATCCATGGCCCTCCCATCAACCGTATCCCAAAAGTCTCTCGCGTTCACACGACTCAATTGACCACCGACGCACGTACACGCAAAATTAATTGCAGGCACTAATTGACCCCATGTACACACTAATCTCCAAATTAACCCGAATGGGAAAAGAATAATCGACCTGCAAGACCCGAATAATCATGTCGGTGGGCCTGGAGGTCGTTAGGGGTCTCTGTTGTGCACCCATACCAGGGCACCGCCACACTTGCGATTTATACCAAGTCGGAGGAAAAAAAAAAAAAAAAAAAAAAAAGACAGCTTCTCCAGAAGTATGGTTACACACGGGTTTCACGGGCAACAATAACACAGTGAGACGAGGGGGGAACGAAGAGTGACGAGGTGGAAAAGGAGCCGGGGTAGCCGAGCTAGAGAGAGAGAGAGAGACAGGGCACTCGAGAACCGAGGCTGGACCTCAAATCATGCTCGGGAAGCCGCGGACCCACCGCACTACAGGACGCCCCGCGCTCCTTACTTTTCGACCGCTCCCCCTGCGTGGATGCGAGCTCCTTCTTCATTTGGCCCATTCCTCGCTCACTTCCTTCCTTTTCTCTCTGCCTCCACACTTGTTCGTCCTCTTCGTTTCGACGCGCGGCTCCGGCGTCCTTTAATATCCTCGGAGCCTCGACTCCGCCGATACCATCTCCCGATGGAATGTCTGGGGATGAGAGGGAGAAGGTAGTTCGGCAGAGTGTGCGTGCGGGTACCCACACGCGCACGACCAAAAACAGCGGGGAGGAGGAGAAAACAGGGGGTATATATACCACCAACCTGTCGTTTTGTTGGCGAAGGGAGGGAGGGAGGGCCACCCGTTTGGGTGTATTATTGCCCCGGCGCTTCTCACACGCACTTTCCCGCCGAAGCTGCTGTGGCCTGACGCTCCGCTGATAAGTAGTGTTGAGGTCGAACATCCTTTCGCGCCAGACGCTCTCCCCTCTCCTCTGCTGATCCTCTCTCTCTCTCTCTTTCTCTCTCTTTGGTTCTCTCTTTCTTTTTTTTCGTTCGTTCGTTTGTTGTACTTTTCACCGCGGTTTTATTGCTCGTTTCCCATTGTTCGGAAAACTCTTGCTTTGCCAAAATTGGGAGAACCAAGCATGGTACGTGGTAAAATTTATGAATAAATAAAAAAAAAGGAAAACTGATGAAAAAAAACATCAAGGGACGATAAGTACTGCATTCCGAAATTTCCATTAAAACAAAAAGGTGCAGGGTGCGAGCCCGAAAAAGTTTATTTACAACTTAATTAGAGGCATCTAATCTCCACGGGCAGGGCGCAGTAAACTCTCGCCGGCCGTTTAATGAAGGAGACGGCCTCCCCGGAGAAAAAGATACACCCATAGGACCGTGCGATTTTCATCTCCGGAGCAAGCGGTCACCTTGGAAGTAAATAAAAAAAAAAAATANAAAAAAAAAAAAAAAAAAAAAAAAAAAAAAAAAAAAAAAAAAAAAAAAAAAAAACGAGAGAAGAGAAGAAAAGGAGCCGAGCGAACTGTATGTATATGCTCGAAGAGAAAGAGGCGAGCTCGCCGAGGCAATATTTCGGAGCGAGGGGGGAGGCGCTACGGTGCCCCTTCGGTTAGTAATAGACATTTCGAACGCGGCGCCGAACGGTACGTATAACATTGATTTAAGTCCCGAGATCCTTTGCGAAACGCTCGACGCCTCGCCGTATTATGTATATACGCCTGCGAAGCGTGCGAGCAGCCACGTACACGCAGGCTTTGGCTGATTATATACGACGAAGGGAGGTTGCGGTGCATCAAACTACGAGACGAACAAAAGAGGAACCGAGGGACTTTGTTTTTGCAAGGGATCGCGTTGACTAGATGCTGCTAATATACGCGCGACATCATTTGCATCGCTTACTTAAAAAAAAATAAAATCGTTAAACCGTAAAGGATATACATACTTTCTCTGCCGAGAAATTAAAGTTTATTTGGTGATCGCAGAATCGGTGGCCGGACAAAGCACGGATAAAAACTACTTGCCCGGCAGTCAGTCCACATGGTAGACGGACAACCACAAGTGGGGACAGACGGTAGATGTTTCGGAAAGAAAAAGGATAAAAACCATTGATTGGCGCGAGTCGGGTGCTGCGTGCGTGTATATAATACACAGAGAGATAAAAAGGCGGAGGGCGCCGG